GGTAGCTCTTTAAGCCAAACCATTGATTGTCCGGCAAGTGGGAGCCTCCAGCGATAATGTGACAGATTTTGTTTCATTAAGGGGCTCCCATCCCGCTCCGTAACCCATGCCCTGAGCACATTCTCAATACAGGGCAGGGCTGGATTGAAGGGGCAGACGAGGCGCAAGCTGTGAAAGAAACCGCAGTGTTTTGTTGCACCCCCCCCCATTTATTTATTTATTTGTTTGCTAGACTTTTACCCTGCCCTCCCGCCGAACCTCCTACCTTGTTTCTCTCCATTTTGATTCATAACAGGCAAGGCTACGTAGGGGAATGCAGCTGGAGAGCAGTTTCTATGGCACCAGAAATCATGAATTCCAGGGAAATGAAAGATTAATTCAATTTGGATGGATTAGACTTTCAAATTAATATCCTGGAGCCCAACATTATTGCAATGCCTGGCAGAAGGGTTGGCTTTCTGGGGGAACACTACTGGCATGTCTACGGAATCGTGCCTGGTATGCTCATTTCAGTTTTCATGCAGTTTTCACGCAGACCTTAAGACAACTGAGTGAATAGCTGAAGTCTGAGACACTTTGCATTCCCGTGCAAGATCAGTGACCAAAGGCTTGGGCTTGATCCTACTGAGATATTTGGCTAATATAGCAGAATCTGCCCAGTCATAATGCAATACATAAATCTCCCAAGAAGTATATTGCCAAAAAGGTAAACTTGCATTTATTCAAGTAGATCCAGTTCACATTCAGGTTGCAGTCGAAAGGAGAGAGAGAAGTCTAATTTAAAGACTACTTTCCCCTCTCACAAATGGCTGGCATGTCTGGCGTCATGTGCGTGGGGGAGCATGAGGGCACTGTCACCGAAGCATAGAATGTTTGACTTGGAAGGGACCCTGCAGGTCATCTAGTCCAACCCCCTGCACTCTGCAGAAGAGAGCGGTGTCTCTACGGAGGGCCACGTGGAGACAGAGGACACACAGAGAGAGGAGGAGTCAGAGAGGGCAGCTCCCAGGTGGAGACCAAGAGAGGCATCCCATTCCAAGAGAGGAACACCTGTACACACTTGGAGTGATGCAGCACACCCTCAGTGGCCGAGGTCAGACCGGCAGTTTGCTCCGATAGAGGCACGAGCCAGAAACGTTTCACAAACAGATTAAAGGGGCCGTTCACACAGGTACATCTGTCAGGTGTTCCCCAGCCGTACTCAACCCGTCTTGTAACGCTTCCCTCCCAAGTTTAAAAGATACCAGGTGAAAGTGGTAGCAAACCCTGGAGAGCGCGATTAAAAGAAGAAGAAGAAGAAGAAGAAGAGATTGGATTTATACCCTGCCCTTCACTACCCAAAGGAGTCTCAGAGCGGCTTACAAACTCCTTTCCCTTCCCCTCCCCACGACAGACACCCTGTGAGGTAGGTGGGGCTGAGAGAGCTCTGCTCTTTTTCAAGGACAGCTCTTATCAGAACTACGGCTTGCCAAGGTCATCCAGCCAGGTGCAAGTGGAGGAGGAGTGGGGAATCAAACCCGGTTCTCCCAGGTTAGAGTCCGCACACTTAACCACTACACCAAACTGGCTCCTGCGTCCATCCCGCTTCCCGGAAGTGTGAACGCGAAAAGCCATGATCCAGTAGGGATGCGCTTATGCACATGAGCACATAAGCGCACATAACCGGATTACCTGAAAAAGCAGTTTACAGCCGTGCTTCTGGGCCAACAGTGTGAACGCTCCCTTGTGCCTCCTCCCTTGTGCCTATTCTCCCGCATCAGTCGGTGTGGTGTGACCGGGAAAACCGGGGACAGTTTGTTCTGGGTCTTTTTTGCCACGACTCCCTCCCGCTTCAAACTGCCTGTCTGAACGCAGCCAGTGTCCAGGCATATGCTGAATCACTCACTCCATCCGATTCAGGCCTTACAATGAAGCATCTTAGAGCTGAACAACCCGTGGACGGTGCACTAACTCAAGCCTTGGAGCTTTATTTGATGTTAAGTTGTCTATGGTCTACACTAATTCATCAGCTTCCTAAAACTGTTGTGGGTCCCCGTCCACAGACCCCGTCCTCCATGAAGTTGATGAACCCCCTCAATAAAAGCCGTCTGAGCTCACGATTGTCCCCACATCTTACAGCAGTGAATTTCTTTTGCAGTTCAGAACCCGCTGTTGATCAGTGTCTGCAGGGAAAACTGGGATGGAGAGAGCCATCCCCCCCCCTCTCTCTGCCATTCATATTTCTATAAATATACACATTACACTCCCCTTTGGGCATCCCCCCCCCCAAACTGAAACAACGCCAGATTTCCCGGCAAGGAAGATGTCTCAGCACTTTCCTTTGGGCTGCACTTTTCTCGGCCTTTTTGCAGCTCTTCCCGAGGAAAGGCTGGGGATGCGAGGAGGAAGCCTGAGACCCCTCAGCTGAGGGCAGAGGCAGGGCGCTCACTTGCTGTTCACTGATCGAGGTGAGGCCTGGGAGGAGAACCTCCCACCCCGTGCGCCCTGCCACTCACAGCACATCACAGGAGTTGAGCAGACAGCCTTCACGAGCGAGCGGCTCCATCGCTGGAGGAAGAGGCTAAGCAATCGCAGCCTGACCTACAATCGCTGCGCTCCATGTGCTGAGCGGCTCAGCTGGAACGTGGTGACAGTTCATCGGAACGTATGTCACAGTTGATGTCTGTGAGAGAAGCACAGCCCCCAGCGAGCGCGATTCCTCCCCCTCTGCCAGGCCTCCCCTCGCTCTGGAGGGCAGCACGCCCCAGCTCCCGCGACTGGCCTGCTCACCCCAGAAGCCGGAGGAAGCGGCCCCAACAAGCCAGGCTACTGCTTTGGCCCAGAGGAGGGCACCCTTCTGGCACCGTCCGGCAGAGCAATGGAGGAGCGAGGGCCGTGGCCCCGGGGCAGGGCATCTGCTTTGGCAGGCGGAGGGTCCCGGGTTCAGTCCCGGCATTTCCAGTTAAATGGATCAGACAGCAGGTGATGTGAGAGACCTTTCTCTGCCGGAGACCCCAGAGGGCTGCTGCCAGTCTGAGTAGACGGCTCTGACCGTGATGGGCTGAGGGGCTGCTTCAGTATTCAGGCCACTTCATGTGTTCTTGGGATGCCATCTGACTCCAGGGCTCTTTTTGTAGAAAAAGCCCAGCAAGAACTCATTAGCATAATAGGCCACACCCAACAGCAGTAACTCATTGAGCACTTGGATGAGATTTTTAAGAGACGGCCATCTTGCTTTTATGAGAGGAGCACCGAATATATTTTTCTACGAGTATAACTGGTTTTAATATTTTAATGTATGTATTGTTTTATGCTATGATTCGGCAATATGCCCTGTAAGCCGCCCTGAGCCTACGGGTCCTTGCTTGTTGTCCAAACCCAGGGCCTTTTTTTTGTAGCAGGGACTCCTTTGCATGTTAGGCCACACACCCCTAATGTAGCCAATCCTAATGAGTTTCTGCTGTTGGGTGTGGCCTATTATGCTAATGAGTTCCTGCTGGGCGTGGCCAACTTGGAAGCCAGCCGGAACTCCGTTCCTGTGCGTTCCTGCCCAAAAATAGCCCTGTGACTGACTGGCCAACAGAAAGGGCACCCTGGGGCTGTTTCCATGTTTCTGTGTGTGTGTGTGTGGGGGGGGATACATTTGAGTCCAGTCAGGCACCTTTAAGATCAACAACGCTTAATTCTGAGTATAACTTTTTGTGTGCACAGGAAAGCTTCTGCCCAGAATTAAACTTTGTTGGTCTCCAAGGGGCCTGACTGGACTCAGATTTTGTTCTGTTGCTTCAGATCAGCACGGCTGCCCCCACCTGAATCTATCTCCATCTGGTATGTGTGGGACAAAATGAATTTTCTCCTGGGAGGCTGGCAAGCAGCAGACCTCCACTTGGCAATTGTAAAAGGTTTTTTCCCCCTTGGAAGAAGGAAGTCCGTCAACAGCTTTCTAGGCTCACCTTCATACAAATGCTAATGTGTTTAGCAGGAAAGACCGTGGGATGGCCAAGCCTCCCCCTTCTCCAGGCACGGGACAGAGTTTGGAGGAATCCTAGACTCACACAGAGTCCGGAGGGGCCACACAGGCCATCCAGCCCCACCCCCCTGCTCAACGCAGGATCGGCCCCTAGCGCATCCCTGACAAGGGTCTGTCCAGCCGCTGCTTGAAGACTGTCAGGGAGGGGGAGCGCACCACCTCCCCAGGCAGCTGATTCCACTGCTGAACAACTTTTACTAAGATCCAGCTGGTACCTTCCCGCCCTTCATTTAAACCCATTCTTGCGAGTCCTCTCCTCTGCTGCCAACAGGAACAGCTCCCTGCCCCCCTCTTAAGTGACAGCCCTTCGGATCCTTAAAGAGAGCCATCCTGTCCCCCCTCGACCTCCCCTTCTCCAGGCTAAACATTCCCAAGAGGTCCCTCCGCCTTTCCTCGCAGGGCTTCTTGGGCTCCAGCCCCCCCCCCCATCATCCTCGTCGCTCTCCTCTGCCCACGCTCCATCCTGTCCACATCCTTTATGCAGTGAGGCCAAGGCAGTGCACAGTGGGACGATGACATCTTGCGATCTGGATGTTATGCCTCTGCTGATACACTCCAAGACTGCATTGGCCTTTATTCTCGCCGCATCACACTGGCTGCTCATAGTTAACTCTCGGTCCCCCCGTACCCCCAAGATCTTGTTCACACACACACTGCCACCCAGAAGGGCACCCCCCATCCAGTATGCCTGTTCCTCATTTTTGTTACTCAGATGTAGAACTCAGCACTTATCCTTGTTAAATGGCATCTTGTTCACATCTGCCCACTTTTCTAGGGTGCTCAGATCCCATTGAATTCTCTATCAATCAATAAACCTTTAATGGCATATACAACCTTAAAAATCAAAGACAGAAAATGACACAAATTCTCTATCTTCTGGTATGTTTGCTGCTCCTCCCAATTTGGTGCCATCTGCAAATCTAATGAGTAGCCCCTCCACACCCTCCTCCAGATCATTTATAAAAATATTGAAAAGTACCAGGCCCCAAACGGAGCTCTGTCCAGGACTGGGGGCTACAACCACTCCAGGGATAACTCTCCAGGAAGGGACTGGAGGAAATGCTTCTCTGACCTGGCCTGACCGGGTCAAGGGGGAGGGGAGACAGAGATGATAAAATCTCAGTGCAACAGGAACTAGCTTTCTTGTCTGCAGACTAGAGGAGGCACATTCTGGGGGGCGGCGGGATTCTCTGGGTAGTAAAAAGCACAGTCCAACTTGATTTTTGAGCTCCCACGTGACACGGCACTCTTTCTGAGCATGTCTTGTGGGGTTCCCAGGGCTCTCCCTTGCTGCCGGAGCAAAGAAAAAACTCCTTTGCGCTGACTGTGAGGGCTACATGGGAGGGGCTGTGGCACTGTGGCAAATAGGGTTGCCAGACCCTTGTCCGGGTGGGGTTTCCCCTGATTTTCAGGGCTTCAGCCCACTGCTGGCCAGCAGGCTGGCGGGGGCAGCCCCAACCCCAAACAGATGCATCACACGTCAACACCCCTGGTGTGATGTCACTTCCACGTGACATCATCACGTCAATGACACTTCCCCACCTCCCCACTCCCGGAAGGCTCCCTCTCGCCCCCCGCGAGAAGAACAATTGGACCAGCAACCCTACTGGCCGAGCATCTGCTTGGTCCCTGGTTCAGTGTCCAGCATCTCCAATCAACGTGATCAAGTTTTAGGTGATGTGAAAGGCCTCAGGCTGAGGAGGACCCGGAGAGCCGCTGCCAGTCTGAGTAGACGAGGCTGACTTCGATGGACCCCCAGGGCCTGAGTCAGGAGAAGGCAGCTTCAGGTGTTCACGTGAAAGCTCTGTTTGTGGCCAGTCTGGGACTGGACCCCAGTGGAGCTTAGCGGTGCCTTCAAAACGGTGATGTTCAGCTCTGGCACTGCCCCCCCCCCAGCCCTTTGCCAGGGCTTTATTTTGAAAACCACAGTTCACCTGTGGCTGGGGATCGGCAGGCAGCAGGAGGTGAGGCTGGCAAGACTGGGCTCACAGCGGGGCCTCTGCACCAACGTGGCAGGCAAGAAGTGCGCAAGGGGGCAGTGCCAGCCACGGGGACGACCCAAATGCCGTCCCCATGTGCCTCCATCTCAATTGCTGCCACTTGCAAAGTGGGAGGCGGCTCCTCCCCCACCCGTGGGAAAGCAGCGACCATTCCAGCAAGGAGGGTCCCTCTGGGGAGCAGCCTTTGCCGGCAACCACGCACGGAAGAATGCCAACGGCCTCCCGCCTGAGGCTCCCCAGGCAGTCCGAATGCCTCTCCCTCTACAGGATGAAGACCCAGTTTCTGGGCATTTGGCTGCTGGTGCAAATCCTCTGTGGAGATCTCCCTGCTAGTGGGGATCCAGAGGCACTCGCAGTGGCCACGGACTGTCTCCATGGTGCCTCCCCCCCAATACTCCCCTTGCCTCCGCCCTCTAGCACTGCCATTCCCCGGCTGTGGCACTGGAGGGCTTTCTCGACAATTGCTATATATTGCTATAGCAATTACCTTTTACAATAGAGGCCCCCAAAATCCCTGGTAGGGCATGAGGGGCTGAGGGAAAGAAAACGGCCCTGCTGTGCACAGGATCTGTCCAAATGCCACCCCTGGTATCAGTGCTTCCCCTTCCCCAATACCCGCTACTACTTCTCCACAAATCACCCCCCCAAGATCCTTTTCCTTCCCCCCCCCCCCCAGCCACTTGGCTTTTGCTACCTCCATATCTGTATAGCTTATGCTTTTGCACTCAAAACTGAATGTGGGTTCACCCCACCTCCACTTGGTGTCCAACCTGGAGTGGGTGGGTTGTTTTTTTTTTACAGTACATTTTCCACTCCACTTCCCACCCCACCCCACATTCTTCCAATCTTTTCCAGCCCAGGTTTGATACAATCTTTTGTGCAGACTGCAGTCAAAGTTTTTTGTCTGTTGCATGGATAAGAAAGTGCCCCCCTCTGCTACAAATGGTGTCCTCAAGCTACTCTTCCCAATGGGGTTTTAAATGTCCAGGAGAAATGTCTTGCCCTTTTAATAGAGGTTTAATCTGCAGAAATTCTTCTTCACCCAAAAGGTCATTCACACATGTAATTCACTGCCGCAGGAAATAGTGGTGGCTACAAGCACAGACAGCTTCAAGAGCGGACAGGATAAACATATGGAGCAGAGGTCCATGAGTGGCTATTAGCCACAAGGTATAGACGGAAGACCCTGTCTGGGGCAGTGATGCTCTGTATTCTTGGTGCTGGGGGGGGGGGCAACAGTCGGAGGGCTTCTGGAGTTCTGGCCCCACTGGTAGACCTCCTGAGGGCACCTGGGTTCTGGCCACTGATCCAATATGGCTTCTCTTATGTTCTTAAATGGGCACGGAACTAAACAATGTCACCTGATGATTGCTGCAGGTCAAACTGAGATTAAAAGGGCTGCTAGAGGGACCACTTTAAAGTCTGGCAACCCTAATTTAAATAACCACAGCCGTGTCTAGAACCCCACAGGGGAGAAAGCCCTCTGTGTGTGTGTGTGTGTGTGTGTGTGTGTGTGAGAGAGAGAGAGAGAGAGGGGGGGGGGGCTTGTTTTGCAACAGAGAAGCAGGCAAGGAAGAGGTTAAGCATTATCATCTCTCCTGCTGCTTCTCCACTCCACTCTCCCTTCTGAAGCTGCTTTTCCTTATTTTCTTTTTGTTGCCTCCATTTACATTTAAGATGTAGCCAGACCCGGTCAGAATGGCACAGCAAATGGCTTGTATATTTTCTGATACCAACTGCTCTTTTTTACAAACAGGAACTGAAATCCTCAAGATTCTGAAGGTTCATCGCAGCAAGTTATACTTGTAGCCTGGGATCGATCATTTTAAATCCCGCACATTTCAATATCTCATCAATCAGAAGCATGAGAATGTATTTTGCAACAATGTAGCTTATGATTCTGCACTCAAGACTGAATGTACAGGATGTTGTGGTTATGGGAAATTTCAACTATCCAGATATTTGCTCGAAATCTAACTCTGTGAGACATGGGGCATCCCGCAGATTCTTGAATAGTCTTGCGGACAACTTCATCTCTCAGAAGGTGGAAGTGGGAACCAGAGGATTCACTATCCTAGATTTAATCCTGACTAACAAGGAAGAAATGGTTGATGAAGTGAACGTTGTGGGATCCAAGGGGAATAGTGACCATGTCAGCTTGGAATTTGACACAGAGAAGGATGTGAAACCAGGACATAGTAGGACTCATATCCTGGACTTCAGGAAAGCTGATTTTAAAAAACTCAGAGAAATATTAGGTAGGATCCTGTGGCTGGAAATGCTGAGGGGGAAATCTGCACAGGAAGGATGGGAGATGCTGAAAAATGAAGTGCTTAAGGCACAATCGCAGACTGTCCTGGTGAGAAAGAAAGGTGGGAGACGGGTAATGAAGCTGAGGTGGCTGAACAAGGACCTCTCTGAAGAGCTGAGACTAAAAAGGGAAATGTACAGGAAATGGAAGGAGGGACAAATTACTGAGGGTGAATACAAGAAGCAGGCTCGAATCTGTAGGGATGGTGCCAGAAAGGCTAAAGCACAGATGGAGCTGAGGCTTGTGAGGGATGCTAAAAACAACAAGAAAAATTTCTATGCCTATGTTCAGAGCAAAAAGAAGAACAGGGATGGAGTAATGCTCATTGCTCGGGGAAGACGGTCAAGCCTTAACAAGGGATGAAGACAAAGTGGAATTACTTAACTCTCACTTTGTGTCGGTCTTTAACCATAAGGCGAGCTGTATACAAACTGAAGAATGCAAGGCATATGACAGAAGGAGGAACTGCCAGTCCAGAGTAAGTAAGGAGATGGTGAGACAGCATCTAGCTGCCTTAAATAGTTTCAAATCTGCAAGGCTGGATGGCTTGCATCCCAGGGTGCTAAAAGAAATTGCAGATGTTATTTCAGAGCCTCTGGCTCTAATCTTTGAGATTTCCTGGAGTACTGGTGTTGTGCCAGAAGA